CAGTAAAATCGCATTGTTAAACATAGAAATAACTACGCCAAGCTGTACGAAAGATGTAAAATGACGTACTTAGACCTAGTTAGGAATAGAAAACGTCAAAGTACGCGCAACTAATAATAATTACTTCCTGAATCATTATTTCCTAAGCGTTTCTATGCCTAACTACACCAAACTAATTTTTATTCTTTCGTAGTGTTTCAAGAAAGGATTGACATAAAATAATGTCTTTTTGATAAAACATTTAATACGCGTAAATACATCAAAGGTATGCGCTTGGTGCATCTTTGATCCCGTGGTATGCCATTGTACGCTTTTTTACGCGGAATTACACTCTACAGTCTGATAATTGGGTACAGAAGTAATTATATCAAACTACGCGTTTTTACGTGAAAAATACAAGTATAAAATAGCGCACTTGGACATAGTTAGGCAAAGAAAGTACGTCAAAGTACGCGCAACTAATGAGCATTACATCCTGAACTACGCGTTTCTATGCCGAACTCCTCTAAACTGGTTTTTATTTTTTCGGAGAAAGTATGCCATTCTACGTCTTTCTACGCAGAATCATTCTACAATCGAATAGTTGAACACAGAAATAAGTATCTACGCCAAGTTATGCGGTTGTACGAAAAAATCGTTTCCTGAAGTACATATTTCTACGCCAAACTATGCCAAAGTACAATATTTATCTTTTAATTTTTCCATTTGTAACAAAGTAAGCCATTCTACGCCATTTTACGTGGAAATACTTTTACTCATCCACATGAGTAATATGCATCTCCTCCGATAGAGAGTCACGGCGGAGATACATGAACTCGTAAATAAGAATCACTTAGGAAAGTATGTAAAGAGCACAGCATTTCACATATGAAGTGAGCCATCAAAGTTGAGTTTTAATATTGAAGTACCCATACTACGATGGAATTCTAATTCCATCATGATGACAGCAACGTGATAGTATCTTGAATTAATGCCAAATGAGTTCAAGATATCATCATGTTACTTTAAACAGTACAGTGTAAATGTACCTGAAAGTATAGGTTTGTTCGCATCGCATGCTCCAACATACTGCTACTTCCTTCAACCGCTTCTACTCACTCAAACGTGCTTGTTAAAGTGAATAGGAGCTATAGTAAAAGCATGTTGAAGAATGCGAACAAACTTTATACTTAGGGTATAGTTTCGCGTAGGAAGGCGTAAATCTATAGGAGTAGAATTTTACGCCAAAGGGTATAATTTCGCGTACTTAGGCGTAGTTTTTAGCGTAGTTAAGCGTACTTTCGGGTATAATTAGGCGTATTTTCTGGCGTAGTTTGCCAAAGTTTGGCATACAAAGGCATGAATCGGTTTACTTTGGCATAGGAGTAGAATTCTACACCAAATTACTTCCGTGTTCCAAACCACGTATTTAGGAATAGTTTTTGGAATATTTAAGAATAGTTTTGGCGTACTTTTTGACATATAAATTTTTCCGTCAAGATAATAAAAAGCCACAGTAAATCAGCATACTTTGATTAGTTATAAACAAATTTCAGAGGTGTTCATCGTGGGCTGACTATTTTTAATTTACTGCTAGAGAAATTTCGATGATCAAATCTGGTGCTTAGGAACAAATTAATAGAATTTTGCGTCTGCAATTGAATAAATGTGAGTGGGTGCATTGTCATAATGGAACCAAAAGTTGACACGACTGAGACAAAGAAACTAATGTACACATTTGTTTGAAATTTTAACAGTAACTCAATGAAGAATCAAACTTTTCTAAAATTATAGCAGTTTGATATTTATCGAAGATCATTTCTGTATCAGACTGAAAACTTTTCAAACTTATATCCTCATATAAATCAACATATCAATAATATCTTAGTATAATTTTTATCTCTTTTTATTCGATAGAGCAAAAAAAATTATATCATGTCTTTGACATGAATTATATACAATATCCTATTAATTTATTGATAATACATTATGTTCTAAAATGTCATTGGACATAAAAAGTGCTAATACGGCTTTGTACTAATATAATTATTAATTAAAAATCTGTACTTTATATATTAGATTTTTAGTATTGGTGATATATATTGGAACGCAGCCTACATTGCATGTGTACATAGTATAACTATATTTCTTGATTATCCCTCAAATAAGATTAACTTTAATCCCAGTTCATATTTTTTCAATTCTAAAATTGGAAAATTTTCCAAAATTGAAGTTAATCTTACATTTATGGAACCGAGTCTAATATATGTTTTCGTCCCTAAGCTAAGATGGAATGTAGGAAACGGAATAAAACTGTCGATAATTATGGATCCAATTTCCTGCATGATCACGTTAACTCAGAGGGCGTAAGCATCTTATACATTGGAAATGAAAATCTGTAACATCGACCTTGATCAAATTCGACACTCCAGCATCCCCTTGATAATAATTTACATGACTAAGTAATTTTGTTATGGATCAACCTTTACTTTTATAATCATATAAATCAGCCTTTATTGACCTTGTTACAAATCTTTGTTCCGATTGTTTTGTTTTAATATTTCGCTCACTTTAAAATTGTCACTTAGAACGCTTGTTTGAATCTAACACAATATGATTTTTAAGATTCTTATTCAAATATATTACGGATTTTATTATAAGTTTTTCTGTACCATGATCCTTGGAATAAGTTATTGTTATCAAACTTGTCTTTTGTCATATAACAATCACTCATAATCTTATTATCACTCATAATTAATTTGCATTACTTCACTAGTTGGGAATAACAAAAGTCGATCACACTCGTTTTGACTTCCACTGGAATTACCAACCATGTGTAATGATGACGCCTGATGATAAGTAGAATTCTTTCGCCAAGGATTTACGACTAATTGATATAATTGTATGCAGCATTACTGAGGATGACTCGAACGTGAGTCGAAATGTACAAATATAATAAAAAATTTACACACAAAAATTGCGCAACGTTTACAGCGTTTCACTCTTTAGCCTGTTTCTTTTATTATTTTAATATTTTACATATAAGAAAATTCTAAAAAAATATATTAACAATTTAATTATTATTTAAATTATTAGTTAGACATTTATAGGAAAAATTTCTTGTGTATGGCGTTTATATTTGCTGACAGAATATCAAAAAATTAATAAATAAGTATCTATTACTTATTACGCAATGTTCTCTTCTTCATTATTTTTTTCTATAATACAAGATAATTAATATATTTTTATTAGAGTGACGCAATTTTTAATATTTTTTTTTTCCTTTGCACAGTTTCGTTCTTTAAACAGTATTATAGATGATATTATAATAAATATATTGATATCTGATTTACTGATTCAAGGACGGATGGCGAATTTAAGAACAAACTTTTCAAAAAAGAAACAAATGGAGTTGGCGGAAAGTATTAATGCGAGATATGGAAGTAAGATAAGTGAGCCGGTAAGATGGTGGCCGTTACGCGCCACGGCTGCCAGACATATCTGGGATCGCTAAGCTAATTTTAGTCTCTAATGGTTCTGTCAATAGCAATTTCTATAAGACTGAATAATAGTTCTCAGATATTGAGAGAGAGAGAGAGAGAGAGAGAGAGAGAAACTCTTCGACTCTTTCCACACGAAAAAGATCCTGCTGCGATGCAATTTCTGTCCTCTTTCTCCTCATCCTATTTCTTCCATCTATCTCTAATTGCCCTAGGTAGAGGCATTAGATATCTAATAAACTCTTTTTTTCGTCAAGCTGATAACAAAAAGAACTGCAATGATTGATTTTCTAACTAATGACGATACTTTTTATTTTGAATAAACGCTGCCAAAAACAATTTAATTTAAATCGGAAATCTCTCCGTTTATAAAAGTCCATTTTTATGAATTGTTACAGATATCACTCGGTTATTTTATTATTCATTAAAAGTATCTACTTTCTGTGCGATGAAAATTATTTAATAAAAAATTATTACGAAAGAGACTAAACAACGTGATTTATTACATTATCAAGGAGATTAATTTGTAAAATCAAAAACATATTTACACGTCCTTATCGGTCATTTCTACTTGTATCATTCACACATATATAGTATAATTCTACTATATAATTCTCTATACTATTCACACAGTGATATGTATATATAGATAAATTCATACAAATGTTTGATTTCATCTCTAATCTAATCTTTTCCAACGCTTTGCGATTTTTAATATTTTTGTTACTTTATCACATTAAATCTATATGTTTTTCTTACAAATCGATTTCCGGTACACTGACCTGAATTTATAAAAATGATACACTAAGCATCCTTTGGACATGTATGAGATATGAAATATATGATCTTATGAACTAGTTTAAAACAACGCATGACATGAACGAATCTTGATCTGTTGTTATGTCTTTCTCGAGCTATTGCCAAATGTTATTTATACATGAGTATATTATTTCTTCAGTAAGACATAAACGGGTAGGCTCTGTGACATCGATACATCTGTTTGCAGCACGTTTGAAGATATTGCATAAATTATTCCCTCCTATTATAACGTGCATCAACGTCGCGAGCAATTTCAATACGATTGGCCAAAAATTCGTCCGATCATGCATCTTGAAAGGTCATTTCCTTCGACTTTCTGCTTGCAATTTTCAATTTCCTCTTTTCTATTAATCTCCGGTTAAGAACGAATGTCGGAAAGCTCTGATAGAAATTTTTGATCTCTTATAATACCAAATTATTTTTCTTTAAGACGCACAATTTACGAGAGGTAATATGCTTTCTTGGTATCCAATAGAGGAACCTCTTCCAATGATATCGGATCAAATCGTAAATGGTTCAATTCTTCGTCTTTTGACTACTTTAATAGCTCCTTTTGTATCTGCACAAAGGTCTTGCCTTTTGTCTCAGGCGAGAAGCAAAGAATTAAAGCGATGCATATTGTCACGATTGCAAAGAATGCTAAGTAAGGCATCGAATGGCCATAATTTCATGTGACGACTACTAAAATGTAAGCTTTCGCTACTATGACGAAGAAGCAGCCGTTAGTGACAACCAGAGACACGTGGCGAGAGCTTTAATTTTAGTGGCGAACATCTTGGACATCATAATCATCTGCATGGAAAGCAGACCGCATTTGAAGGTGAATACCAACAGTATCGCCGCAATTACGCGGACATGCGATCTAAGTTCAAATATTATAGAACTTTTGCGTAAAAGAAGACGCCAATTACGAAATTCGACGCGGCAGCGATCAAGCCAGAGAAGAGTGTTAGCTGTTTACGATCCAATCTATCGACCAAAAAGATAATGATTATTGCGGAGTTCACTTGCACTATACCAATCATGACATTGACCGTATGATTGAAAACTATCTGGAGTTGAACGGATTTGAAAAGCAGTTGATCATACACAATAATCATGAAAGTAGTATATGGACAGTCGTGGGCCATCAAAACAAATTCCTATCCAGCGCCGGGAGCGTACCCTATCTGGAAAATGGCACGCTCTGATTGGTCGGTGACGTGAGGGTGTGGGTAATAAGGTATTTAAATAATGTGTTTTGATTGGTTCAGTCCATGGCTGCTCACGTGCTGATTGGCTCTGTCCATAGTCGCCCACGCGGTGACTGGAGAAGAGTGGCAGGGATGAATACCGTGACACCAACGAAAATCGGGACCGAGACATTTTTTCGTTACGAGAGCACGGGGAAGGTGCGGGCAGCTTATATGAATAGCATACAGTTTTTTGTTCTGTAGATCATTTTTTGCTGCAGCGGCTCAATATCTCCGCCGTACTGACTTTTAGTGAAAAGGTTTTTTTCTTATTATTTATGACGAGGACTTTACAAGTATTTTCTTGCTTTCACTAGAGAGAAAGGAGGTAAAATAGGAATGAACAAGTTCGTGCCGGCACGCGACGTCGTAATCAGTGCATTGATTCAAACATTATTTTAATAGAAAAATTTTTTGTTTTTAATGAACATTATCTAAATCTGAGAAAAGATGACTAATGTAAAGGGGAGGTTAACGAGGTTAAGAGTAAGAAACAGACGAAATTAATCAAAAATATTTATTTAAAAAAAGGAATATTACATAAAATATTTGTTTTATATTTTACTTTTTAAAAGAATAGACGATTTAACATGACGGCATACAGTATAAAAATTTATTTTTTTATGTTTACAACAAAGAAAAAATTTATGAAATAACTATAAGATCAATCAGTCATTGCGTTTACAATCAGAGATAAACAGACTAAGAAATTGGCTAAGATTATAACCATTACATATAAAATATAAAATATAGAAATACGAGGTCTGGCTATTAAATAACGAGACTGCGCGCGCAGAAGGCCCGCCCTAGACGGGTAGGATGGGAAACGAATGCAGCGTTGGATAGCTGGAAGTGTCTACTATCCCAGTACGAAAACACGTTTTTGTCGCAGTAGTAGTATTTTTTCTATAGAGGTTAGAAACGAACTTGTTTTTTTCTCGTGCCGATAACAATGTGTGACGAAAAATACGAGCAACGGATCAATGTGAAATTTCTCGTTAAATTAAAAAAAACTCCGACTGAGTGCTATAAGTTGTTGAAAGAGGCCTATGGTGAGAATTCTCTATCTCGTGCGCGTGTTTTCGAATGGTATAAACGGTTTTCTGAAGGCCGAGAGAGCACCGAAGATGACCAACGTCCAGGTCGACCTGTCTCTGTTTCAACTCCGCAAACAGT